CTACCGCCAATAGTTGCTTCATAGAGATCATGGGCTGTATGGTGCCCAAATCTTTTAGAATATCATATGGTTCTGTATTAGTGGTAATTCCTAATGTCTGTTTCTTCTTCCCAGTTCTAGACACTGATGTAGGTAAATTGATTTTCTCTATATTAGAAATTGATAAAGCTATTGGAACTGAATTTGATGTAGCCTATAAAACCAGTTCTTTCAACATATAAGATTGTTCTCCCAATTGGGCTGATATTAGTTCCTTGGAATTCACGCCTCTTAGAGGATCTTTCAATGAAAAGGACATTTCTTGAAACTATGTAGAGAACGGAACAGCTTGACATGGAATCGAAGCCTCTATAATCAGTACCTCATTGGATCGCACAATTGATTCAGGTCTTATACTGAGTAAGGGGTCCATGTAAGGACTCAGATTGGATGTCCCCATAATTGGGTCCAATTGGCCCTTTGCTTCAAGATCACCTAAATGTTGAATTGGTTTTTTTTTTTTTTTTTTTTTTTTTTTTTTTTTTTTTTGCTAACTTTTTCTATGGATAGCTTGAACTACTTCTACGTGATGAACTAGTGAATCTTGAGGATCTTGATTTATCTCCTCTATTGTTCATTAGCTTTGGAACTGCTGATCTCGATTATTGAAATTAAACGGAGCATTACATTGCTGATAAGTATGTCCCGAGTGCTTGCAATTCACACATACTGGCGCATAATCATCACAAGATCTGAGATTGGAACATTCACTAGCATAATGACCAATCTGTCTGCAACAGAAACAACGAAGTAATCTTCTTGTACCTCCATTTGGCATATTGGATGTCTCCATCGGTATATACCTACTAGACTTGTTCCATGTAGGGTTAGAAAATGATCCTAGTTGTCCCGTTGGTACCGAGGGTACTTGGTTCGATAATATTGGTGGAGCATATTGCTGATATCTCTACTGCTCCTTCCCGTAGTTTTGGGGGTTTGATGCAGACCCCTAATTAAAATTAGAACTTTGAAAGTTATTGAATGTTCAATTTTATCAATTAAATCAATTTTCATTCCATCCATATGTATTTTCCATTTGAACTTGATTGACTTTCCACTGAGTCGGTGGGATCATCGTCTGATTACTGAATTGTTGTTGCCTTTGTAAATGCTAGCAATTTTGGGTAGGATGTTTTCCTCCACAAAATGTACATTGAACACCCGTTTGTCTAGGTGATGGACATTTTGTATCAAAATGATCTTGTTCCTTACAATTATTACACCATACATTAGGTCTCATATTAAAAGGCTTATGTCGTTTCTCCTTATCTTTAGCCAAATTCACGGCCAATTCTTCTATCTTCTTTGTTAGATTTAATAACAAGGCTTTATTTGGATCTTTAATAATCATATTTTTGAACAACTCTGGTTGTTGATAGGTTGGTGATGTAAAATAAGGTGTCATTATTATTGGTGCTATTGCTTGGAGTGGTGTAGCATTAATTGGTTCTTGCAACATAACATTCTTCACATTGGAGGCAGCCATTTGTGGATAATTATCCATCGATACATTTCTCTATTATATTTGTTGGCTTCTTGAACTTGGAATCATTGTGGCCCCCACTGTTAACAATTGGTCATAATGACATTCTTCAGACACCTTTGCTCATGTCAACGATGCCTCTACTGTAGTTGGTCGACCATCTTTTACAAATATTTTTAATTTTGGTGGATGTAAACCATTGATTAGTATCAACAATATAAACGCATTTGGTATTTGATTATTTGACCATTTATAAAGTATATCCACGATCCGGCCATAATAGGACTCTACGGATTTCTCCACAAACATCCTGTTATTCATAAAACTTTCTCGAAGTCGATCTTCAAATCCAATTGGTCTAAAATGGGTTAAGAAGGTGTTCTTCAAGGCCTCCTAATTGGGAAATCTATCCACTGGTTGCTGAATATACCATTCAAAAGCTGTATCTTTTAAAGTTGCTGGCAACCATCTCAACCAAATGTCTTCAGTTCTACTATTATTAGCTATATAGGCTGTCAAGAATTGAGATATATGGTGATCGGGATCAAAGCGTGGCCAACCACTAAAAGTAGATAATGGTGCCACACTTGTAGTTCGATCTCCTACTACTTCCATTTATACTGCAATTGGTACTTCTGGCACTCCCACGGCCATTGGTGTTATTATTGGTCTCCTTGCTATTTGAATTTGAATTTTTCTTCCTTTTGTTTTACTTGGACCTATAATTCTTTTTTGTCGTTCTCGTAGGATATTTCTTATGCATAATTGCTCATGTCTTTTTTTCGCTTGTTGATTAATTCTTTGATAATCCTCTCCTTCATGATTATTACTCATAATCTTTTATTCTTTCCATATAATCAATTTCTAACATTTCATATTATTATCATTTTCATGGCAACAATACCAAAATGTTGTTCTCGTTGCATTCAAGCTTTGATATACCAAAGCAATTGAACTAATAGAGGTGGGTTCAAACACGGAGAAAGATTGGTTATATGAATTGGGTCTGTTAATGTCACAATTGATTCTACTCTGGCTATCTGAAATCAATTATCAAACTACAAAACACCAAGGCTTACTACTTCCATCTTGATTCAACACATAATCCATTCTATGACTATCAATTCAATAATACTTCTCTCAATCACAATTCTTCATAAGTAAATAATAAAAGCAAAGAAAACAAAGAGGTAGCACCAAGCTTACCCCAGCTTATGACTCTCACAATCTGGCTCTCGACTTACGACTCTCATAGTTTGGCTCTCGACTTACGACTCTCAGTCTGGCTCTCGGCTTATGACTCTTAGTCTAGCTCTCAACTTACGACTCTCATAGTTTGGCTCTCGACTTATGACTCTCACAGTCTGGCTTCGATCTCTCTTTCCTACCAAAAAAGATGATCCGTGAGCCAGCGGATTCCAAAGGTTATGACCCTTTGAATTCTTAACCATTTGTTCCACTAACAACCTACTGTTACCAACTAAACTGCCTAACCATAAGTCTAATTCTCAAGGTTGTCAATAACCAACTAGTAACTTATCACAAAGTTTATTTACCTATTCTATAGTATGTAATAGCATATATTATTTGATTCTTCTAAGTTTTATCATGTTAATTACTTTCAACTTACAATGTTATTAGTTTAAATATAATTTTTTTTTGCTAAAATTTCACATTAAATATTTAATAATTTAGGAATTAGTTTTAAGCATGATTGACTATATGTCATATGTTCATTTTCATGTACATGATTTAAATAAAAAAAATATTGAATAAAAATCGTAAACACAAATGATAGTTTGAAAGCTCTAAAGATTACATATACAAATTTTATTATTATTATTATTATTATTATTATTATTATTATTTTATATTTAAAACTATTCATATAAATGTACAAATAATAAGATTTTTTTTACATATAAAGATTTTATTATTATTATTATTATTATTATTTTATATTTAAAACTATTCATATAAATGTACAAATAATAAGATTTTTTTTTTTTTTTTTTTTTTTTTTTTTTTTGTAAATGTATACATATTCTTTAATCATCATTATGATAGAATGGTTACACATGTGATTTTGTGTATATATATATATATATATATGAATATTTTTTTGTATGTTTTCATATTTGTAAAATTTTATTACAAAAATATTTTTATTATAATAGCTTCAAACATAGTTGCACAAAATGTCAAGTTTAATAGAAAGTTTATGTAACAGTTGACAACATTGTATGCATTTGGTTGTACAAATATATATTGAATGTACAAATGCTAATGGTTTAGAATATTTTTGTAACGAAGCTTTCTCATTGCCCAAACATGAATGAATGACAGGATGGATTGATGGCAGTGGCAGAGATTGTGATGCCCAATAGCATGGGGTTTCTCTGGTTCATACTAAGATGTGATCAAAATATTTGACACCAAATTCTTTTACTTTTCCTACCTACAAACTTACCACCACATTATTATTATTCTTATTATTATCTTTGATTGTTTAAAGAATGTTTATATAAATAAATAAGTAAATAATAACCGCCTTGCACGTCAAATTTCTTAATCTTCAAGCATCTTCAAAACAACTTAACCTGTGTTTTCTGCTCTTTCTTTCCCATATCTTCTCTTTCGGCTTCAAAGCTGACGATGGTTTTTGCAGTTATGAGATTTCCTTCGAAGTTGAAATCTCAAGCATTGCAAGCATTCTGCTGAGTGTTTCCTGACCCTCACTAACGTGACAGAACCACTCTCTTATGTCCACTTCCAATTCACCTCATTTGCAGACGGAATCCTTGCCTTGCTCAACACATGGGAGCCACAAAACACAATACCCTCAACCTTGAAAGATGTTTTCTAGTGATTACAAACCTGGGGCCTTTCACTTCCATTCACCTGATCTCATGCAGCCTTTGACGTCGCAGGAATAAACAATTGTTTCTGAAAGATCACTGGCTATGAAAGCAACAAAACCCAGTCTCGTGCTACCACTAGATTGGAGCTGCTTCAGCATCATGTGAGATCAGACTGCATGCAGATGAATATGACTGCAGTCAAGGATTTGATGGGAGATAAATCACTGGAAGAGTCGGATCCTTGACGACAGAGTTAGTCAGATTTCCTGGAAGAGAATAGTCACTGCGTGTGTGTGTATGGACGTTGTTTGCATGCCACTGCTTTGCGGTGTGCTTGAACTGGCCTTGAGAAAGATCATTCCCCCGGTTCATGAAACTGGTTCCGTCTTCTGCAATGCTTGCGTCTTCGAAACAACCTTCGTGGGAAATATGGGTTCCGGGTCTACATGGCTGATGCTAGATTTAAGGAAGAAATGGTGCAAGACCTTACCAACTGGTGCCCACAGATGAAGCCCGTTCCATGATCAACGGCATCGTTATGCAAACATATTCCTATATCCTCTCCCCTGATTTTGCTAAACCTGCACTTCGATTTCCAGCCACTCCTCGATTCGGTGTAAGAAAAACCTAAACATTAAGTAAATCAGTTGCATCGAATAGAAGAAAAGATACAAAATTAGGGTAGGGTTCAAGTATTTTGGCACAATCGACCTCAAATCATGAGGCGTAGGAAAGGCTAGCACATTACTTAGTAACTCTCAACTGAAAGCCTACTATCTACCTCCTTTTTTTGTCGTCTTTACTGTCTCGTATCTATACCTCTTCCACGGAAACGCCAAGCTTGCTTGCAATGGAAGCCAAGGACATGGAATCAGAGTTGCTGTCAGAGGCTTTCTCATGTCGGAGATCGAGCAAAAAGTCTGTGAGGACGGTTTCGTAGGATGGCATCTTTGCGTACCCGGGGAAGTAATTGATGTCAATGACGTGAAAATGGTTGCCGGCCTTCAAATCCTTGATGACATCAAAATTGAAGAGGCGTAGTCCAAGAGCCTCCCTCAACCCATTAGCCACGTCTGCTATGAAATTCGCAGGGGGGAGCTCAGCCTTGGCAACATTCTCGTCCATGGTGGCTCCCGACACCATGTTCGAAATCTGGGAAAAGGGTAAGGGTTCGTCGGTGCTCACTTGCTCTTCGTTTACATCGGGGAGTGATTTCCGCCTCACGCACTTGATATACTTGCCTACAACATACACTTTGAAGATCACTCCGCCGTGGTTCACGAACTCTTGCAGCACCATCGGGGGTTTCAGTTTGTTGAGACCCCGCGTGTTGAAGAGCAGAAACATGGCATGAGACTTGGCACTTCCATCCGCCACCATGGGCTTGGCAATCACGGGGAAAGTCAATTCGCTCAAAGCACTGTCATCGTGAAGCATTTCCGCACTGTCGACGATCAATTGTTTGGGAATGCCGCAAGATCCCAGACCTGTCGAGATTTGCACTTGCTCCACAGCCTGGAGCATGGAAATGCGGTTCTGCAGCTTCGCAATTGCAGCGGGAGGGTCTATAATCACCACATCCGGGTGCCGATCTTTATACTGCAGCAGCTGCTGCGTCCATAACTCCCCTCCGTGCTTGTGTATAATCGCATCGAAAGGTCCCTGCTCCTCCAGGGATTTGTGAAAATCCACGCACACCAAGTTTACGCCTTTGCTCTTGGCATATGCTATCAGAGAGGGTTGCACAAAGCTCTTCTGCTTCTTCTCCGCTAATGCATATCCTACATCGAACATCTCTACACCTGTGGACATCGTTTGCACCAAACCCTAAAGAAAAACACTCACAACGAAGTACAACTAACTGTTAATTCTTTTCTACTCATCGTTGCTTGCACACGCTGACCCAGGTACAAATTTCAACACATTCCCACAACATGCAGTGAAAATTGGCTGTTACAATGCAAAATTAGAGCACTGTGTGCTGACATGCCTAACAAGGGAAATACAATGAACGTTATGAAATCACGAAGCGGTAGAATCCCAGTTATGGAATCACAGACATCCTGCACTGAATGTCCTTCGAATGTCATCAAAGTGTGTATTACTAAAGCTGTATGGACACATGCGCTGTTTAGGCGATCAATCTGCAAACTGAATCCCAGCAAAATAGTACCCAAAAGAACAGCACTAGTTGCCGGATCTGATCTAACCCACGGCAAATTCTGATCGCAATCAGTCCGCAAAACTCAGTTCAAAAAACCACCACTTTAACCTTAAAACCACCACTTTAAGCACTGAAACCACCAAATTTAGCCCAAATTAAAACTGCCTTCAGAATTCCACCGACAAACAGAAAATTCCACTGTCGAGATTCCATCAATGAATGCAAGCCCAGGTTTATTACAATGTTCTGATGCAAGAAGCCAATAGGAATTTCCTGTTCATCCAGTACCAGGTACCAGGTGGGTGCCATTCCACTACGGCCTCTTTACACAGCCAGTTAACCACAACAAGGAGGTCAGTGAGGCGTCTCGACGATTCAGGATTGCGATGGACGAGGTCTTGGAAGGGTATCGATAATACACGGGACTGGTGGACGCTTCTGTGAGCAGCATCGATGATGTCGACACAGGGGTGCCGACATCCACAGCGCGAGGGATCTCATTCGACGGGAGACTTTTTCGTGAGGAGGCGGAGAGGTAGCACATCTAGCATCAAGAAGAGAGCGGAGGACACCGCTGTGAAGTTTTGTTTTAGGTTTTTTCTTCTGTCGTTACAAGATTAGAGTAGACGAGCAGATCAGGAGATTGATCTAGGAAAGTGGAGAAGAACATTTTGAATATTATGGACTAGTAAATCATCTATTACAAAGATTAGAAGATCTACTTTGTATAGAAGGTGAGGAATGGGGTGATTTAAAACCATCATCAGACATGAAGAGTCTTGAAATCATAAAACACATAAGTAATGGAAGTTAAGGAGCAGTTTATGAATCAAAGTGGTTGAGAGTTTTGTGTGCAATTAAAAAGATGGATGTTGTACTTAACAAGTTTTTTAAGGAAGAAGTGATCATTTTAGCCAATTTATACTATTCCAACTTAATAACATATTACTTTGCAATGAAAGGTAATACCAATGAAAGTAGTAAAACTTTTGAGATAATAGTAAAAAAAGACTATTTGTACATAGGAATAGAATTGATGAAAATAAATTTAAATGACATGTTACAGAAAGAAGAGCAATTGTCTTATGCTTTTCTTATTGATATTATATATCAAATTGCAAAAAGAATGTGTTACTTGCATAACATGTACATTATGCATCATGATCTAAAATCTGACAATATTTTGGTTAATATTATGGAAACAAAAATTGTGAATAAGGTTATTCAACATACTATTGTGAAAGTGATAGATTTTGGAATATCTAAGATTGAAGTTGGAAGCAATCTAGAAACCACAAAGAATAAATTTCTTTATAGTACTATTATTTATTTGGCTCATGAGGTATTCAAAATTAAATTTCAAATAATATTAATGTATCTTTTTAAAGTAGATTTTTATTCATTTCCAATAGTATGTTCTAAGAAGAAAAAAAGATCCATTTTATGGTGTTTATGAGATGAAAGAGATTTTAGAAAGAATTAAAAAAAGTGAAAAACCAAACTTATCTTCAAATTATAATAATTTGAAAGAGCTTATCTAAGAGTGTTGGAGGTTGAATCCTTTGCATCGACCAAAGTTTGCAAATATTTTTGAATTATCAAATTTATTAAAAAAAATATTTTTAGTTGGAACTGAAGTGGCAAATATACTATATTTTAGAGTAATAAAAAACAATTATCATCACAATATAGGATTTTAGCAAATACATAATAGATTACCATTGATAAGACTTGTACTAAAAACTAAAGTAAGTATGTATTGAGTTAAATGTATTGATTACATTTTATATTTGTACATACTCTTTTATGCTTTAATGATGTTTAGATGCTTTTGTATGAACTCAAGTTAGTAAGACTATGATAAAATATAGTGCATGTGTTATTATTATTATTATTATTATTATTATTTGATGATTTGTGGTTAAATATTTTGATTACAAGTTAATTTATTTGAAGAAGAAATATTTAGTAGAGCATAATTTTTATCACAAATAAGACAACAATGTACAAATTAAATGAAGGTATTGTATCTTGTTGGAATGGATGGAATAGGAAAGACTGCAATAGAAAAGGCTATATTGACTGATGTTAAAGACATATATAATGCCTTGTACTTTGTTGAGTACATTGAAAGTAGTAGTGATTGCTATAAAACTTCTTACAATATTTTAGAACAATTTAAAGTCAAAGAACAACCAAAAGATGTAAAAGAAGCTCATAAAATATTAAAAGCATTCTTTATGGAAAATAAAACTATCTTGGTTTTTGACAATGAAAAGAGGAAGAGAATTAGATAGAGATGAAAATAATAGTAACTATAAGATTTGGAAGATATTAAGAATAAGCTTTGATAACTTGAAAGTTGAAGAGAAGAGAATGTTTTTGGACATATGTTATTTTTTTGTAATGATGTGTTCCTTTAAGGCATGTCAAAAGAAAGAACATTGCAAATATGGACCAATAGTAAAAAAAAAAAAAAAAAAAAAAAAAAAAAAAATTAGAATATGTTGTAGAAATTATATTATATATATTAATTTATTAATCATTGGTAAAAGTAGACAAAGATGGAATTATAAGAATATATGATCAACTACATGGATGGGAATATTGTTAAAAATAAAATAAAGAATAAATATACACAAATGTGAAACTTGAATATAGATCCATTTTATGGATTATCAAACAAGGTAATTTTATTTAATTATTATCTAAATATCATGTAAAAAATTAATAATAATAAGAAAGAATCAATATTTAAAGGTCAATTTTTTATATTTTTATATTATATAATTTTTATTGTAATTTTTAGATGTATGTTGATATAAAGTTATTATGTTAAAAAATCAATCTTCTATTGTAATTAGATTTGTACGTACATTAAGTATATCTCTTTTGTAGAAATTCTAATCTTTTATATATTTAATTGTGGTTTTTTATAGTTAGAGGGATTATTTTATAATAACATATATAAACATAATATTAGTTAAATAAGAAGTGATTTTTTTCATGCAAAATTGTGATAAGAATATTAAGCATATTTTTTGTATTAGTAAAGCATTCTTTTAGTTTAAAATATTTTCTACTAGACATGTCATTGGCATATGATTTAAAAGAAGAAGAAGAAGAAGAAGAAAGCATTGCAAATGCTATATGACAAAGATGTTTGGAAAAAAAATTGAGAATTTAAATGACTTACAAATGAGAAATTGTTCTTTTATAGAAAAATTTCCAACTTCATTTTTTAAAATTACTACATTATTAGATCTTGACTTAGAAGGATGCTAAAATTTAACAATGCTACCAAATGAATTGAAGTATATGACTTCTTTGAAGATACTTAATTTAAATAATCATATAAAATTAAGATCAATATCAAAATCATTAAAAGTTTTATTTTTTTATTTTTTATGATTTTAATATTAGGTATTGCAAAAGCTTGACTTTATTGTCAAATGAATTGGACTACCTCACAACTTTGACTACCTAAAATATAGAAGGGTACTCAAGCTTGACATCATTGCCAAATGAATTAGGAAATCCCACATCTTTGATTACCTTTATTATAGAAGGGTGCTCAAGTTTGACATCATTACCAAATAAATTGGGCAACCTCACAACTTTGACTATCTTAAATATGAGGGAGGGGGGTGCTCAAGGTTGATATTATTGCCAAATAAATTAGGCAACCTCACATCTTTGGCTACATTAAATATAGAGAGATGCTTAAGATTGATATCATTACCAAATGAATCAAAAAATCTCACATTTTTTACTACTTTTAATATAGAAGATTGCTCAAGCTTAACATCATTGCCAAATGAATTAAACAACTTTACATCTTTGACTAATTTTAATATAAAATACTATTCAAGTTTAACATTACAGTTAAGTGAATTAGGCAACTTCACATATTTGATTGCCTTAAATACAAGGAGGTATAAAAGCTAGACATCATTGCCAAATAAATTAGGCAACTTCACATCTTTGACCATTTTAAATATGCAGAGGTGCTCAAGGTTCACATCATTGACAAATGAATTAGACAACTTCACATCTTTGACTATCTTTAATATGGGAAGGTACTCAAAGTTAATATTATTGCCAAATGAATTAAGCAACATTGCATATAAGGGAGTGCTCAAACTTGACATCATTGCTAAATGAATTAGGCAACCTTACATCTTTGACTTCTTTTGACATAAAAGAATGCTCAAGCTTGATATCATCATGAAAAAAAATGATCTATATATTTTTAGAAAGATACCTTTTGAAATAGGTTAAAAATTAATAAATAATATAGTTACAAGTTAGTAAAAAAATATATAATTAAGTATAGATAAGTTATTTATAAAATACAATAATAAAAAAAATTGATAATTCAAAGAATATTAGATTTAGATCATATCAAAAATATATAAAAAAAATATTAATATAAATATATACTTAAATTATCTAATTTTATTAATTTTTAAATTAAATAATAAATCTAAGATTTAAAAATTATGAATTTTAAGTTTAAATTTAATAGGCGTTTTTATTTTTTTGAAACTTTTATTATTTTTAATTTTAACTTTATGTACCTTCTTATTTTTGAGTTTAATAATTCCAATAGTATAAATAATTTGCTATATAAATTTTTAATTTAGAAAATATAGCTACTTTGATTTTGATTTTAGAATTTTTACTTTTGATATAATAGAATTAAAAATTTAGAATTTAAGATGATATGGATGTGCTTAATGTCTTTGACATCTTTATTTTTTAATTTTGACTTGATTTAATTATAAATCCAATCATTATCTTTTAATTAGAGGAATTATTAAAATTATAATTTTAATATTTTTTAAATATATGAATACCAAATTTGTAAATTTTATTTAATTATTTAATTATTTATTAGAATTTTAAATTTTTTATAAGTTTAAAAAAACTTGTTAAGAAAAAATTCATTAAATTGGAATCTTAATAAGTATTAGAAGAAATTATTTTAAATAATTTAAATATATTTCTTTCAATAGTGATAATTTATTAATAATTCTTTATAAAATATCTTTTGGAGTTGATTAAGAAATATAATTTGGTGCAAAGGACTTTGCCTTATATGTAGAAGAAAAGATATTTATTCAACGTGGAATAATTCAATTTTAATTTGCAAGTTACTACCATAATTTCAAATATGGAAGTTAATAGAGAGGTTTGGAGAAAATATCAAGCTTATGTTGTAGCAATGAATGTTTTATAGAAGAGAGAAGTTATATTGAATTGAAATCAATATGCTAATATATGCAAGAATTTTGAACATGTATTGATGATATATAACTATTTGACAACAGTAATGGACATGAATATGAACTATTGTTAAGAGAGTTATTGCTTACATCAGACAAAGCTTGTTTGATTGGAAAGAATTATTAGACTGAAATTGGCATAAAGTATCAATAATTCAATTGAAGAACAAAGAAACTTTTAGATAATTATTTTTGGACTTAAAGTGTTGTTATAGTGTAATAAGTGATATGCTTCTAAAGCATTTTGCCTA